CCCATTATACACACACATACACCCCCCCACACATCACCATATACCGCACATGCCCACCATACATACACACATCCTACCATAATATACCTCCACCAATCACCCTCCCCCCAATATACAAGACTAAGACTTTATTTTTGAGCTATTATGCTATCACCTCTATATACACTCTTCAAACACAAATCATAACAACTATTTTGGCAGTAAAATTAAAATATGTTATAGTAGGTGTTTGACGTGTTTTTTTCTACTTCTAAGATGGCAACCCCCACTTCCCAAAAAGAGTATTTCTGGGGGGGCAAGGGGAGGGACTTCCAGTGGCAAAGGTCAGGGGTTAGGGGCAGGACATCCAGTCCCAAGATGGCAACCAGGGGGTGGGGCAACTGTCAAGGGGCAGGACTACCCATGCAGCCCTCAAAAGCCCAGCAAGCCTCATTAAGCGGCCCTCCAGCTGAAATAATTGCCCACCCCTGGTATATGAGAAACCTGGGTGACAGAGGTTTGCTTACTAACAGGATAAGCAGCTATTCTGCCCCAGGTCAGAGGTTCAATTACAGGGCAAATTGCTGATGACTGAAAATTGCTATGATGTGATCACTGTAAGCTAGACAACAATGAAGTGTAATATCAATCTCCATCTAGATCCCAGTGGAGGGGTGTCTATAATTTAGAGAGCACTATCACAAATAGCTCTACTTTACACAGCAACTTTACAGTAAAGAATCTGAAAGCCCTTTTTGCTCTAAATATGAGTATACAGAAATCCCTTCCTGTAACACTTGAAATGTACACGCTCCCACATGACTATGGTGGCACACCAAAACTGTTTAGCACTGTATAGCAGCAATCTGGGAAAACCAGAACTGTAACTCCATTGAAATTATGGGGAACAACAGTTTTGGTAGATATTACAAGCCATGTTACAAGAACTCTGGAGTGGATAAACACGTGACTCCTGAAGCCTGATGAAGAAGGTGGCAGAAACTTTTCACACCTATGGTCTGGATAACTTCAGCCCTCCTAAGCTTGGGATAAGATAGATGCATACAGGTGGTTGCTGCACTGAAAACTCGGTGCCTTCTTATGTTTTGTTCTTCCTACTAAGGTTAACCAATATTTTGTTTGGAAAAAGCTGAGCCATTGCTTTCTTTCACTACTCACAGCTCCACAAGGAAAGACCTTCCAGGCAACCAATCTAGATGGGCCCCACATACAGTGAGAGTTTGTAGACTGAAATCCATGTCCCAATATGAATGGGATAACTGTAGGATTCTAACCTGAGAGAGATGAGGGCATGAAGACTGTCGGCTGGAAGAGATACATTTAGAGAGGCATCACTGAAGGCATCCGAGATGCAGCTAGGCCTGAACAGCGACAACTTCATGCTGGAATTTGGTTTTGAGACTAGCAGTATGGGTAGACATTCTTTTAAAGCACTAAAGATTTCAGTGATATTTGCAGCACCATGAAAGCCTAGCTGATACAGGTATTACACATGGCGCAAGAAATTCTTGAGCTGCCAAGAAGTTCTTGTTGGAAAGAGGCAACATTTTGTGGCAGTTTGGCTATGCTTTTCCCACACAAATAACTTGGGTGGCTCTATGCTTGCTTTTTGAAGCAATGAAGGGACATATATAGTACTACAGATTTAACACTTGCCCATAGCATGGGCTAAATGCAACTTCTCTTGCTTTGTCCAAGATAAGAGACCAAAGTTAAATTTTGTCTGTCTGGTCAAACAGTTATCAGTTATCCATAAGGCTCTTATATTTATGCTCAGGTACAAAAAACACCACCTATAATAGAAGCTACTGGTGTCTTGACTGTCCTTTAGGAAAGTGATCACCCTGTGATGGTTCTGTAGCAATGACCAAACTATCATAGAACAATGCTCAGACTAAAAGACATAGCTTGATAATTCTCTTTGGTGATAAGTGATTTCATGAATATAAACTAGAGACAGAAACTGGTCTAGATAGAAACAGACCCTAAAATGCTGAAAGTCACATCAGCGATGACACAGCTTCCATAGAAACACTGTGTAAAAGTCATCACTTAAACATTAGAAAGTGAACAGGAAATTGTAAAAGTGCATGTTAAATGTCAGAGTTCCACGTTGAATGATACGTTCAAGACCACTCCTGAACAAAAGTGAAAGCAGGGAGCTGCAAGAAGAGGAGTTGGAAGTCAATACAATTCAAGCATAGCCTATTTCTAAAACAAAATTGGACAATTTAAAATGAGAAACACAAAATGACCTGGACTTACAGCAGTCTGAAACAGTAATTCTAGACAGATGATTAAGGCATTTTCAAACATAAAAACCAACTGGGAGGATATAGATGAAACTGTGCACACAATGGATGACTGTACAAAGAATATTGTGCAACAGCTCTGTTATATGATGGAAGATGTTATGTGTAATCCACCATTCCCATCTGAATACTGAGAAATGTAAAATCAGACTTTGCAACATCTACTTCTTCTCAGATAAAAACGTTGCCATGAGAAAATATAGACTTAGATCCTAGGCTGCATGCAAATTATTAAGGGGTGCAGCATAAAGTCACCAATTACCCCCTTATAAAGTAGTACAGCTTCAAAGATTTCTTGTGTTGCTTGTAGCTATTCCAGGAAGGGGCTGCCAAAGCACAGTCTATCTCAAATGGTGTCTATGAGGTAAAGTCAGCCAGACAAAGAGCCACAATGATATCACTTAAGGATTCTCTCACAAGGGGAGTGAAAAAATCCTCTGTCTCTCCATCCCCTCATCTAAGACAGCATCAGCCCAGCCCCCCAACTGGTGGATCCACCTAGGTGACTCCATTGGGAGAGGGGAACTCACTCTCCCTTTGTTCCAGTTTCCTGCCCAAATACCTGGGAGGCACTGGTCACTCCACAGCGGGGTTGCTGACGTTTTTCAAATTAACTAGCCTGCACCAACCATCTTCTGAGGGTACTGGTTTCTGGTTGGGACGTTGTGATGAGATCACCAAAGTTTTAAAAGGGGTTACTCCATTTTGGAGAGGTCAGTCATTTTGGGACACTGAAACAAGCAATAAGCCTCCAGAGATCCACCAGTCTCTGGATGAACATGTGAGAAACTCACCTGAAATTCAGCCAGTAATTTAGGATTAAGTGAGTTAGACGCATATCAAAAGAGGTCAACAAGCCCATTTTGTTTTGCTTAAGTAGGTCGTCTTTCAATTTCCATTGTTTTGTATTCCTTCCTCACTCTCTCCCTCTTTGATTAATAAAGCTATCTGTTATAGCATGCCTTGCTGTAAATGCTTATGAGGGTGAGACTAGTCTTTAAAACCCCCTATGTTCAGCTGGCTAAGGTGGATCTTTTTACTTTCCTCCTGTATAGGAGGCTGCTTGTGAATACTTCAGGCTAAAAGAAGCACTCCAAAATACCATAGTGGGCTAAACATCCTGAGGTCACCAGGGTCTGTGTACCCCGGGCTATGCAGAGCCCTAACAAAGACCAGGGCCCTGGTGGTGGCAGCAATAACCCCAGGCTTGTGGGTGTGCTCCAGGAAGGGGTTGGCCAGACATAGGCCCCCCCAGGGGACACACCCAAAGTGTGGTTTTTGGTCAGGCGCAGTGAGGCAGGTGGCTCAGCGCAGAAGTGTCCCCTACTGGCCCACCCCTACCTTTCTTAGAGTTGTGAAAAGCAGCTGTTTCAGGGCAAGAATCTGAATTCTAATACCCAACTGTGAAAACTGCATTACAGAAAGAGAAATGCACACAAAATACTGAAACTACATGATGCCCAACTGCCCTTGCTCTAAGGTTGGCACAGACTATTTTAATTAATTAGCCAAGTATTAGTGGAATGTTATTCATTTCATTTGAGTTTTAACTTCTCTGTTACCTAATGCACTGAATAGTAATGCAATACCACACTGTAAGTCTCAGCATGCTCACCACAGTGTTTCAGGTAAGTAGAAAGTAGATGACAAGCCACAATACACAAGCAGCTCAGTTTAGCAATCCCTTCTGATTGCTGTATCAGCTGAAGTACACCATGTTGCACCCTTATTGTAAATTAGCAGATGAGTTGGTACAATAGCAAAAACTTTGATTTTAAAGTTTCTAAAAAAAGCCCATAAAGTTTAATGGAACCACACTTAATAAATGTTGAAATGCTGAAAGACATTTCAACAATGCTTTAACACTGCCAGTTCAGAGGCTCAGAGAGGATAAACTCCTTGGAGTTAAAAACAATTCTCTTGCAGCAGTCATGAAATAACTGTATCAGCAAATAGGGTCAGAATTTTTTTAATTTATTGTTTGATTTTTTAAAGGGAAGATGCAACAGTTGCCACTGGGGTTTGTGGCCAAAACCTGGAAGCATGTCAGGTCCTTTATGTCATACCTGTATTACACTACTCTGTTTCAGGATGAATGAGGCTTCGTGAGTTTTAAAAGGGGAAAGCAACAACCCCAAGTGATATGTAGGCGAAAATATCATCTTTTGCAATTCTTTACCTCTGATAATATACCAAGACTCTGTTTTATTCTACTTTCCCTGGGACTGAAGTCTACATTTTGATGTTTGGTGTACCCTGTTACTGGAAATAAACCCTATCCATTCGTTTATGAGCTACCCCTTTTGTTACTGTCACATTAAGAAGTAAGCCCTTACTTGGATATCAGTCAGCTTGTTTAAGAAGCGAGTGGCCAGCTGAGGTCCATTCTCCATAGTTGGAATGTGCAAATTCTAGGATGGAATTTAAAAAGAGAATAATTATTATACAGCCAATAATACAGTGGTTATTAACCTCTTCAGACTCAGACTATGTATGGAAAAGAATAGAATAATTCTTCTGTTGCAAAAAACTCAGAAAGACCACAACAGGCACCACTAGATGTAGACTCTATTTACTATCTGCATAACTGTGTTAAAATAAAACAAATGCATTTCCAATAACCAACATCTTCATGTCTCCCATCATACTGGGAAAGTACAATATTCTTTAATAGATATACGCCAACTATTTAATTATTCTAAACCACTATTCTATTGTGGTTGTCCTAGTATATAGCTTGTCAAAGAAATGACTGCATTTTCCATTCTTAAAATTTGCTTTGGACTGTGTAAGTGAACACAAAGTGAGAGAAATGCTCTATAATTATGGTTTTCAAATTTTTTAGACTTAAGGTATGCCTTGAAAAATGCCAGCTCTTAGTTTTCACTCTTTTATTGACTACAGAAAAAAAATTAGAACAATACTTCTATTGGAAAAAACTTAGAGAGACCACAACAGGTCAGAATATCGTTAATTCTATGGATTCATGTTTGAAATTTCTAAGTTTAACTTGTGAATCATGTTTACACACCTAAGAGCGGTAACATTGTGGCACCCTGCATCACCCTTGAAAGAATCTCAAGGCACCTTGGTTGAGAATCACTGCCCTACAGAATTTCCTTGGATGAAAACAAAATCTTCCAGCTGGTGTACAGCAGACAGAAGTAGCCTTACTACCTTGTCTTAGTCCTGACACCTAGATCAACTTCATTAGAGCTGCGAGAAATAAAGGGCATGGGTCATTTTAGGCATGGGGAAAAGCAGAAAAGAAGGAAAAGGGAATAATAGCACAAAGCTGTGTTCCCTGCACAACCAGGTTTTTGCTCCTGCATGGTTTTCTGCTAGCAGTATACCTTAAAGTTGATCCTCTGCAAGGAACATTATGACCATGATGAACAAAACAGGATCAGACCAGCTCTCAGTGAGGAAAGATCTGAACCCAATTCATGTTCACTCCTCTGTCAAGCTGACCAAACTGTTTTTCCTATTTTAACAATCTGATGAAAATTCAAAATGTTATTTTTTTTTTAAATGACAAAAACTCTACTAACTTTAAAATAAAATTGCTGCCTCTGACCGGTCAGCTAAGAGCTGGTTATTTTCTTTTTCACATTTTGAATTCACAGATTAAAAATAAAAAAGGAAGAAATTCTGGTAACACACACAGAGAAAAAGACCCTAAAAGTATTTTTCCCCCAACCAGCTCTACTGCTTAGTCACTTGGGAGGCAACAAGACAATATGCTTGTAAGATACACCTCCACCTCAGACAATGTCTTGGCAGCAGAGCTATGACCAGCCTTCTTTTCTACCTAGTTATTTCTGTTTCCTTCAATTCATAGTTAATAGGGAAAATGAACAAATAAAAACATATAAATGGTTCTCTTACCTCATTCTTGTATAATATTTTAGAAATGGGACATACAATACAAGCAGTCCCAGCACCAAACATCTCCTTCACTCTGTTTTCCTCCAAGGCAGTTGTCAGATCACTCATGGTGATGTACCGCTCGGACACTTTGAATTCTTCCTGCAACAGAATCCAAAAAGAAAAGAGACAAGCACATCATCTTAAAAGTCAAAGCACTTTCCTCAACTTAAATGCCCTGAATTTGTTGCACTCGGCCTATTTTAGGCTATGAAACTATCTGAGTCAAGGTGGAACCTGGTTAACAAATGAATGACCTACAAGGAAAACTCAAAGGTCTGCAACATGAGATGCTGTCAGTTCAGGGTGTGGCAGTCTTCCCTCTGACTTAGTATTGAACCTCAACACCATATTACAGAACACTGTGCAGATGGAAAATATATTTATAATGATATGAAAATAGAGAGGATGTGTTTATTTATGTTTACTAATGGACTTCATAGCACTTGTCTTCAAATCTCTTATCAAATTCAACTGTAGCTAACTACATTCTACTCACCTGGAATTCCTCCTGTGGTTCCAAGTACATGAAGTACTTCAATTCTTGCCCTAATCTTCTATTGTGGCTTGCATGTACTTGCAATATTCTAAATTCATGTTACCCATACCAGAAATGATAAGTGAAGTTATTAACATTGCACCGGCATAATAAATGTCCACATGCTACCCTGCAGAAGTGCTAAGGAATCCTAACCATCTTTCCATTCCTGATTTAGGGGAAATGTTAATGAACACTAAATGTTTAATTAATATTTCAATTAAACATTGAAATGTTGTCATTTGGTTGTGGAAACTTCATTTTCTACTCAATCTATGACTTAACCCTTGGGCCTTGAACTAATTCTAATGTGGAACAGGAGCCATCTGCGCAGCAGAAAACGTGGCAATTAGCTCTGGATGAGAATAAAAGTTAAGGGCTAGGAAGAGACAGGAAGAGCACAGTGTACAAACAGTGATCAGAGGGAAAAAGAAATATGTAAGCAAAAGACAAAAGTGATATAACGAGATTTGGATGCAGATTAGTGCCTCTGGAACAAGGCAATGGTGACTGAAGTTATGTCTACGCTAGAAGTGAGAGTTATGATTACAGCATGTGCATGAAGGCAAGGACCCTTGTGAGGGCTAGCAACTTGAGTACATAACATGGTTCCCAGGGACTTACGCAGGCTTTACTGAGACTCATGCTGCCTTGTCTTTACTGCTATTGTTATCCAATATACCCAGATAAAAGTGCTGTACTGTCCCTTATAAAGTGCTGTCATACCTCTGACTGCAATGTAAATGTTGCACTTGGAACTTGGACTGAGGCAGTAGCACCATGGGGAACCCTTCAAGCACAAGATGAGATTTTCTACAATATTATCAATTCGTTTAAATCTGATAAACTGGATGCAGACATCACAGAATTAGACTCTGCAAGCATGTGGGTGCATTACACCTATGCCTGGATTTAAGGCTGAAGATGTGAAATGACAGAACAAGAAACTGAGGAATGAAGGGGTCACGAATGATAAGTGCTTATTTCCTTGGTTTAGCCTGTCTGAATTAGTGGGAAATGGAGTCTACCAAGCCCTATTCAAAGTTAATGAAGGTTTTTATGTAGAAATGCTATGGGGAATGTCAAAAAGTAGAGGTGCACCGATACATTGATCCAATATCAGATCAGTACCAATATGAAGAAAATTGTCTACATCAGATATTGGCCCAATGGGGCCAATAATTTGGCTGATAAATGCCTGTGCTGCATGCAGCTGCAGTGCAACACAGAGCAGAGCTGGCAGCATGGAGAGCTGCCTCCACCTGGTAAGTTGGAAGAGGAAGGGGGACAGAAGGGGTGTGGAGGGGGCAGATCAATGACACCCCGTTAGGGAGGGGGCAGTAGCTGCCCAGGTGGGGCAGGGAGGAGCACAGGACGGAGGTGTGACTCATGGGGTGAGCAAGGTTTCTGCTGCTGCTTGCACCCTGGAAGGGCAGGACAGGGGGGGCCTGTGCCCCTGGATCTGCGCAGTGTGGGGCAGACGGCAGCTGCAGAGTGGAGCCGGAGCTGCACAGGGCTTTTCTTGCCAGGGGCTGGGCTAGGAGCAGGCTCCAGCAGAGATGGGAGGAGGCTGCAGCTACCCCAAATTTTGCAGTAGCTCCACTCCAAGCCCCGCACTGCTGCCCAGTGCAGCCCTGGCTGAACACCCCACCTCCACCCAAGTGCCAAGAAAAGTTGCAGCTGTGGCAGACAACCGTGTGGGACTGGGGGCAGAGCTGCGGCAAAATTTGGGGTGGCTGCAGCCTCCTCCCAAAGCTGCCAGAGTCTGCTCCAAGCTTAGCCCGTGGCGAGAAGACCCACGTGGCACCAGCTCCACGCCATGCAGATACAGGGGCACACCCCCTCCACCCCCACCCTCCTGGGTTGCCCTCC